TGTATGCTTACTTCTACATAAGCCGTAGTGATGGCTGAAAATTGAGGCTAAAACAAATAATAATTCCTAAACCATAATCTGTGCCACATGATTTTTGTTTAAAAATGTCACATGCACTTAAGTTCATTATATTCATTATTTATGGGCTTTTTGCTAAATTAATCACACTTATTCTCACGCTTAATACGTAGATTTAGTATTAACACTTATATTCAAGTCTTCAACAATCTAGTTATTATTATAAATACGTAGTTATTACACTTACAATGCCTCGGTTGCTAAAAAAAAAAAACCCTGTATGCACGAGTAACTGCTTCCGCGCTTTGATATTCAACAACATCCACACTTTTAACCCTCCACGCACGCCACAATGGAACGCAACGACTTACGATCCACACTTCCCACAATTTCTAAGCGCTCTGCTTGCTACACTTATGTATGTATATATGTATATTTGCTTAGATGTATATAATTCCATTGTACATATATATATATTTGTTTTTATACCACATATTTACTCTTTTACATAACTGTTTTTACTCACATTTCCAACATAACATGTTTTTTATATACTTTCTAGATGTTACTGCTAATTATTTCTTCGAATTTTTCAATATTTCTTGAAGCTTACTTATTACATCCAACGCTAATGTTGAAACGCTTCTATTTGCGCTTTTCAATCAAGCAAATTAAGTTTATAAATATATTTTAGTATAATTAAAAAATAAAAATTAACTGTAAATATTTATGTACATAGCAGGAGGCAAATGAATTGAAAGTGAAAATAAAAAAATAATGCGAAAAGTAACTGAAGACTGGAGTGAATTTTGGATAACTAAACGAGCTTTGGCTATAAATCTCARATCTTGACGCTCGCTAAGGGATTTTGCTATGTAGAATTCATTTTATACTTTGAACTGTCGGCATTACGTGCGATTCGGGAGTGGGCACACAAGAGTACACAATAATTACCTGGTTTTGTGTGTAAGTAAACTACAGTTAGCTGTTATATTGAGGGTCTTGAGATGTACTGTTCACACTATGTTTTTATGCTTTTGCCATATTTAAATTTATAATTATTATAATTTTTGGAAAAATTTTTTTTTCCAATTTTTTATGCTGACATTTAGTTGCATTCTTCGTTTATTAAATTTTATTTTACAATTTTGTGTGTTCCTTGTGTGTGTGCTTGAAACCAATATTTTATCTTTTATGATCATAGTAGTAATGGGATTAGTTATGGCATGTTTTCTTTTTCATTTTCGAAGCAAGTGTTTGTGTTCAGTGTTAGAGCTCTTTTGAAATTTCGTACTAAGTTAAGGTTTTCATATAGATTATCCTACTATAGTAAATAATTAGTTTCACTTAGGTGTATACTACATAACACAAAAATTGAAAACATTGGAAAATAGCATGAGGAAAATATTTAACTTTGAATAATGAAAACTTGGAWTTTTCGCGAATTCGGTTTGTGAAAAAGTCATAAAATTATTTAAGTTTTTTTAATTAAAAATATTTTATAGATACATATAAGTTTATAGGTATAAATTGCTCTAAATAATAAGCATGAAATTCGTTTATTATAATCAGTTTTAATTGTAAAAACTACACGACAGTTATATTCGAACTTTTGCTGGTGAAAAAGTTAAAACTGCACTCAGTTGAATTGAACTTCAGATCAACCCAATTAAAATCAGATAAATGTATTTAAGTCTTCAATTATAAGAAAAAAACTTTCGCGATCACTCTAATCCATTGAAACTTAATAATTCAAAGTTTATTAAGTGTTATATGTTATATGGACAAGAATATACAACGTTTTCGAGCCAAATTTTGTTCAGCAATGAGGCCCGTTTCTCGCTCAATGGGTATGTAAACAAGCAAAATTGCCACATTTGGGATGAAGAGCAATCTGAAGACATTCAAGAGCTGCCATTTTATTCAGAAAATGTGTGGGTCGGTTTCTTCAAAAATTACACAACAACCGACTTTTTGATGCCTGAACTAGAAGYTCGTGATCTCGGCGACATTTGGTATAACAAAAAGACGGCGCCACTTCCCACTCATCGCATCAATCAATGGATTTATTGAAAAGAAAACTTCATTGAGCAGATAATTTCACGTTTTGGGCCGGTGGATTGGCACCGTTAGACTTTTSCTGTGGGGATATATAAAGGCTAAAGTGTATGCGGACAATCCTGCTTCGATTCAGGCCTTCGAACAAAATATCCAAATTGTACTTGACGAATGGACCATCTGAAACATCGTCGCGTCGAACATGTGATAATATTCAAAAGATGAATGCCAAAGAATGTTCTTTCGAATAATAATAAACAATTCATCTTAAATTTGAAGTTTCTGTATTTTTTCTTTAAAAATGTTGGGATAACATTTTAGTTTATCGACACTCTAGACAACCCCACTTTCACAAAGTTGAAAACTGTCATACCACAGAAAGGTTGAAGTTAGACAATATTTCAACCGAAATTTTTTTTGACAGATTGAGTTAATAATATTGCTAAAAATTCAGCTAAAAATTCAGATTGAGTTTATAACGTGAATAGAAAACTTCAACCAAAATGCAGTTAACTTGAAAGCCGTTGCCAATCTCCACACAGCTCGCAATGTTCAAATTGCATAGCGCTAATGGAGAGGCAACTCGTAAGAGCTGTTACCGACAGCCCCTTAATTTAGTTCAATTAGTAATTGGCAGGATTTTTTTTTTTTTTTGTTATAATGCCCTTCTTTATTGAAACTGCTTGCTATTTTGTAGACTTTAGTTGATTCACGTGGCTGTCTGCATCCCCTATAAACTATTTGCTAAAAATACTTTCACTGGCCATAATTAATTTGTTAATAAGGATAATTTTTAAAACATCTACTTAACTAGAAATTAATGAAATTTTTGTTAATGTGTATAAAAGTTATTTTTCACTGTGTATGTTAAGCAAAAATCTACAGCTTGCAACAAMAAGTTTTGGAGAAATGGCTTAAATTTCTTTGACTAATAAAATTTAACTAAGCTAATAAGTTTTACACAACAACTAATTTATTTTAATTAATTTACTAAAAACATGTATTTGAATATTGAATTAATCAAGTTTTTTTTTCACTAAAATATTARCATGAAAAATGGATTAAAATTCATACAATAGAAAATTTATGCGTAACTTGAAAGTAAAACCAAACTTTATTTTAAAACATAATAATTTAACTAGAAAATGAGTAATTGAAATCAATTTGAATAAGTGCGTAGTAGAAAAGTATTTCAAATACTTATTTGAAATTTTGTAGTTGTACCCACCAGTTAATTGTTAATTTTTTAAGCCTCGAAACAAAACGTAGTCAACGAATTCGATTAAATTAAATAATTCAATTTTTGGATTTTACAAAAAACATTGACATTTTATTATACAAACAAATATTAACCTATGTAAACTTTTACAAATACACAGTTTTTTTGCTTAATTTACACGCTTAGTAACACACTTAAGATAATTGTCAAATATAAAGTTAATGCAACAATTTTCCAATGACATTTTTTTGTTTTAATTCTTTATGATAACAAATCATTGCAAACATATTTACAAACRTAATTGACGATCTGGCCGCTAATAGCTATGATTGAAAGTCTATGTGAGTTGAGAAATGCAAAAGTTCGAATGAGACTACATGAGACTTAAATTAACAACAATTTATGTTCCAATATTTTTGAAAAAAAAAAATCAAATAAAGAAAAATTTAAAATTTTGTGCGAATATTTGTTTAGAAACTGCATAGCAGTGGCAATAACCACATTTCAATTTGGGAACATTTCGAACAACTCGCTAATTTAGTCAATCAGCATTTTCCCAAATATGTGTTAGTCTATACAATGCACGAATTGACTAAATTCAAGGACTGCGGAACAATTTAAAATAAAAGCAAGAAAAAAATAATAATAAAAGAATTAGCATGACCTATTTTTGATCTCCAATTTTTCAGCTAGAGTTTCAAGGGCGTCGGCAACCAAAGTAAATTTTTKTGAGAGATTCTATACTAAATTTTCGGCAGTGATAGGAAGCGCTTAAACCGGCGTCTAAAATAAATTTTAGATGGAAAAGTTTGCAAAGATCTACTAATTTTTCGCCATATTATAGTAGTTCAAAAAAGAAACGTAAGACTGTTTAACTTTCATTTTAAAATGTACCCGGCAACGCAATTGTTATTAATTCAAAAAATGTACAATAATGGTGTGCACTATTAATCCGAAAATGTTGGCAGTTTCAGCCATGATTTTTCTAATTTTTTTCAGTAATGTTTCTTAAAACGGTGTATATACGAATAGTCTTAATAAATGACTTTTTATGAAAATGCAATGCAAGAAATTTAAGTACAAACTGTCAAAATACTTTCTTCAAGCACATTTTTAAGAACAGTCGTAAATATTTCATAATTTCGGGGAAAAATACTACAATGATGTTAAAATGAAAAATAAAATAATGAAAAAATCGCARCGTCCTGATTTCACGTCATTAATTAAATAGCGCTATTGCGGAATTCCCTTGAGGAATCAATTTAAATCCTGAGTTCCACATAAATGTTGTGCAATGTGTGTGGGACTGTTGTTAGATTGGGCTAAACAGGAGCCCAGACTTATATCATTTTCCATACAATGATTTGGATTGAACCAAAGGATCATATCTTCTTCTTCTTTAATTTCGCACACGCCGCTTCTGTGGTTATAGCCGAGATCAGTGTCCAAACTTTTCTTCGGTCTATAGACCTACATATCGTTTAGAAGATCAGGATTATATTCCGGAACTTTTTCTAAGTCTTCGCGATGATACCCTCTGAAGATGGTGATCCAATTTGTGAACCATCAAATTAAAAAGAAACACACATTTTATTGACACAAAGTGATTTAAATGACTTGTTACGTGATTGGAATCCGTCTAAAAAACAGCTGAGGTTTTGGCGTCTAGATTAAATGACAGGAATTCACTTTCCACGGATATGTATTTTTTTTTTCGACATCATGACGATAGAGCGTATAGTTAAGGAGATGGGATCAACCGGAAAAACTCGATTGGAAGTATTTTGCCTACGTTGTCAAAAATTTTCTAAAAAATCGGAAAATTACAATATACTTAATAGATGAACTTATAATGTCATATAAAGCTTWGGAAAGCTTTAAGATTTTTCTTTAAAAAWRCATATGCTGGACACTCTCTCTCTCCTTTTTACCGACAAATTTCGGTGCGGTGAGTGATGAACAAGGCGAGAGCTACCGTCAGGACATTTCCTTGATGGAGAAGCGCTTTCAAGGCAACTGGTATGTATTAATGCTCGCAGATTAATTGGCTTTTTAGACAGTCGCTTAATTAAGTCARTTAGCGGAATATATAGACTATTATTTAGATGGTAAAATGCAGCATTGACTGGATTAGGCGGTACTCTGAAACACATCTAAAATTTGCTTATAATTAAAGAACAGCGGATTAACCAAAATAAATGTTATTTTAACATACTTAAATTAAATTATTAAATTTATGACTGTTTGTGTTAATTAGATGACATTCGCTATACATACATGAATTTCCTAATTGTTAACCTGCTTAGCTTACTTACGAGCATAAATTGCCTATTTCAATTTTTTTAGCTATTTTTTTTTAAATTAATTTAATTTTTATAATTAAAATAAATAATTATTTTTATTGAGCTATATTTTTGCCACTCTCGCTGTCAACGTTTACTGCCGTTCTTTCMCGATGTACGTATGTATAATATGTATGCATGCATGGCACTTAATTTTTGTTTAATTTTTCAAGTTATTCGCGCGTAATGCTTTTTGTTTTGTTTTCGTTTTTTTTTTTTGTTTTTTTGATTTTACGATTTTTCGATTCTACATAGCTTCTTATGCCTAGTTTTCTGCACTGCTGTATTTTCATAGATATGAACATCACACAAACGGATCACCTTTAGAAGGTCCTTTAAAGTTTCCAATGAACATATGTGGAAGAAGCCAAACCAATGCAAAGCAAATCAAACGAAGGCAAATGATAATGGAAATAAAGTAAATAATACAAAAAAATAAAAGCAAAAAAGGAGAAATAAAGAAAATATATAGATTAGCGTTATTGACGTTTCTAACAGTTTTTTTTTTTTTTTTTATAATAATTCAAAATTTCAGTTAATTAAGATTTAGGCATTTACTCATCCTCCTCTTCCCTGAAGAGATATGTGCTCCAGTAGACCAAATTGAATAACGCAAAGACCAGCGGAAACGTTATTCGTGATATAACATCGATTCTCTTCGATCTAGAACATTGTCTGTGGTGAGWGMATTGCGCAGCAGGCATAATTAAAATATATATACGCAATGGAATTGATTAGTTGATAAATCGCAGTAAAAGTTTGTGTGAGTTTTTATACGARAATTATGTAAATTTAAAAGCAAAAATTTAAGTGAAAAGAAATTGTGAAAGCTCAAAGCTTTCATAAAAAGCACAAACAGCAAATTTAATTTGTAAMAAAATTAAAAAATAACAGTAAACATTTGCATACATACGTGTTCTTAGCGCATATTTGCAAAGCAATTYAACTGAAATCAAAAACGGCAAAACTCAACTGCAATTACAACTCAACTCAAAGCAAATCAAGTCCAAAGTAAAGAAAATACTTGYAAGAGCATTCTTAGCAAGTGGTCTTTAATTGCTTACCTTGTAGGAAACTTTGATAGCCAGGTTTTACAGCAGTTTGGACGTTTGGGCGGCTGCATATGCACCTCGCATTGACGCAACTTCTCCAGGGCCATCGGATCGCCGGGGTGACGCACCAGTGGCTTCTAAATTTGCATTTTTTCGTGTTGGCGCACATTTTTCAATTTCATGAAGAATGCCCACGCACCATTTGTTGTTGTTATCGTCGTTTGGTTGTTGTTGTTTTTGAACGATGATAGAGGAAGGTTTTTTGATATTGATTGTTTTTTTTTTTAGATTGATTGATTGATAGTTTGAGTTATGCATAATGTTTAAAAACGTTTTGAAATCATTTGGTTGTTGTTGTTTATAATTTGATTTAATTTTTGTTTGTTAATTTAGTTTGATTGGTGGTGAAGAATTGAGGTTGTTGATGTCAATCGGAATGACAAAATGAAAAGGGTTTCGAAATAAAGAATAATTGAAATGTTAATATTGTTAAAGTCATGAATTTTGCAGTGCCAATTTTAATTAATTTTTTGTATAAAACTTAATAGTTAATAATTTAAAGTAAACATAAAAATAATTAGTGCTTAAATATTAATTATAAACAGTAGTTATTAATCTGGGTTTTAAGCAAAAGTTATGTGTCAGTTTCGAAATTTTTATTCAAAGTAACAATTATAAAGGAGTTACTGGATTAGTTAGAAATAAGTAGCATTAACTTCCTCTAACGTGGGTAGTTGAATTTGGGTGTTAAGGGTCTAAACACCTGCTAGTTAGAATGTGCGCTGTAAATAACTAAAATTAGGCAAAAGCTGTCTAAGATTCGCCATTGCTCTGCTCGCTGCTGCTCTCTTGTCAAKCGAATCGAAGACAGCTAATTTCTACTAGCTAGAAATTTCAGACACAAATGCCTTAATTCGATATAAATGATCTAACTCAAAATAAGAGAATTAAAGTGGCGTTAATCTAGAGATGAATACCATAATCCCATACTTTTTACCTAGACTAGAAATTATAACTTTTTCAAAATAATACTTTATGTTTTGAAGGCAAATCTGCCATATCCTTAYTTAAGTTAGAACCAGCGAATGAATCGTTTATTTTTTCCAGGGAAATTCGGAATACAAATCCGCTCATGTTGTGCTTCCCGACCGAATATTTCAGTTTCGGATGCAATTTATAGAAGCTGCGTTCCAAAGTAAACAGGACTTTAAAAAATAAAAAACAGRAAAGTGTTTTTTCGCCAAAATCAATTTATCTTTTTTCAAAGTCTATTTCTGCTTCAATACAGCTTTTTACACGGTCCAAAAGCATGTCGAACGAGTGTCTAAGCTCGTTGGCCGGTATGGCTGCCAKWATGCTGGTGAAAGCCTTTTGAATGGCCTCTACGTCTGCATAACGCTTTCCTTTCATGAGGAAATGCATTTCTCCGAAAAGAAAGAATTCGCACGGTGCCATATCAGGTGAATATGGGGAGTGGTTAATGTTTAAAATGTGATTTTTGGTCAAACTTTTGAATTGGCAATCGAAGTAAAATTTCATATAAATTTTCCTCCATAACTTGAAGTTTTTTTTTTTTGTGAATTACAGTGATACGAGGAGGGCAGTTCAACTTGTATATGGACTTTTTCGAAGTAAAGGGTGTGTTTTTAGACATGTGATTTTCAAAAGAAATAAAATGCATATAATTTAATCTTATGGCCAAGGTTTAAACTTTTTAATTAAAATGAGGTTTTTATCATTATGTTTTAAAAAGACTTCGGGAAGGTGATCGTCTTGACTGGCTGGCATAAATTCCATTTTCGACTACTTTTCGCAGCAAATATAGTAATAACGTGCCGCCTATTACCTTCCAAATCATCAATGACGTAGATAAGCGACTTCTTATACAACACAAATATAATACAACAGTTTTAAATCGCCATAACGCGATCACCGAAAAATTTCCATCAATAAATTGATTATTGATGGTTGGTTGTATAGCCTGTAGCGCCATCTAGCGTTGATACCAAAAGTCGTCTTTTATCAATATTATTCAAATCAGGCAAGAAATAGGAAATAATTAAGACTTTATCGTTCCTAAGGCTAGCTTTTTTGTAGAAATATGATCCGGTTGATTCCATCTGCACAAAGTGCTCGCCAAACTGARACTTTTTGAAGATGTAATGGCGTCTCCACACATCAAATGCGGCATCCTTTCAACCAAAAGTGAACTTCAGCGCTGAGAAAATTTTTTTTTGTGAAACTCAGTAACGCTGGCCATCCTATTTCGAGCGCATTCACAGAAATTGCAACGCATTTGGTGCTTATACGGCGGCAATTCTTGCACAAGTTTGATTTGGTAAGCCCGCAAACTAAGACTCCACTGCGAAATTGCTTATAAAGTCGATGGGCTCAGCTGCTWTTGTTACGCGCATTGGCGAATGGACTGATTCGGGTCTTAATCGATACTCTGTGAGGCGTCTCTGAGCAAAATTCATTTTCGTTAACATGATACGAAACACAAGCATGGCTGTTCGAATTATCCACCATGCTGGGCGATTATGTGGAACGAATGTTGGACGCCGCGCCCACGAACTGAGCCACTAGTCTGTAAACCTCTTCATTTATCAGAAGTAATATGAAATGGCAAACCCAACTGAATATATCTAAATCAAGGTTGTTAAAAATACCAACTCTGAAAAAATTATTTCCTCAATGAAAACCACATGTCTAAAGGACACACGTGACCTATTTTAAGAAGGAATCTAGAAAATAGTGTCCACCGTTAGTCTTTATGTTCGCAATTTAAATATATCCGACTATAACTGCTCTAAAGTAACTGGTTGCTTGCTTGAGGTTGCCACTTTAACTCAATTTACGTATAACTAAAGAGTCTTCAAATTTATAAAGTTTTGTAGGGCATAGCTCCTAACGAGAAATGAGTTTTTTTTAGGTCAGTTGAAGTCAATACATTATAGCAATAAATATACCATTAACACTAAAAATTATAAACCTTCAAAATAATGTTAAGGATATATATATGTACTAGTAAATATGCATGTAAGAGAATAAGCTTTTGACAAATACCATTGCGAATGTTGCATTACTGTCAGTGTCGAGCAGATCTGAAGCAGCATCTAAGCTGGCCTGCTCCAAATCGCGACGTTTCTTTTTCAAATTCTCCTTATGTATGTCTGCGGCCCGATCCGTATATAATTATGTTGCATGGGATAAAAAATGTTGGACAAGAATTTATTTGTTCCACACAAGATTTGTGCGCGCATATGTGTGCGTGTGGTTTGTGTGCCAATGTGGAAGATCGTATKTACATACATGCAACATTTATAGTGTTGTTATTGTTGTTGTTATTTTTGCAATTACACAAATTTACGGAAAATGCAACAGATACGAATAGACACAGCAATAAGTGATGTTTTTTGTTGTAATTGATACGAAATTTCGCAGTAAATGAGTGGAGTCAGGGGGAAGTCAAGRGTGGAGGGCGAGCACGTGGGGAACAAAAATTAAAACACAAAAACCGAAATGTGCATGCGCAATATTTTTCAGCAACGAAGGCATGAGAAACCAAGAGACACAGATAATKGCACATTTAACATAATAAGTACACAGCGTTACCAGATGCAATTAAAATAAAAAAAATTGTAAATAAAAAATGCATGACAATTTGTGTGTCCAAATTCAAACGAATTGAATGTGTGTATTAAAATGAGTTAAACAAATTTAATTAAAATAAAAAAATAAAAATAATTTTATTTAAGTAATTTATTTAAGGAATTAAATTAAAATTATATGTAATTATATGTATGAATTATGTTTGCACCAGCGTATTTATATGGCATGAAAAAGAGGAAAAAATATATTTGATGTAATAAAATATTGTAAAATTTGTAATTGTAATCAATAAATACAAAAGACATTAATCAAACGAATTATGCGTGTGTTAAATGTAGTGTTATGGTAATGATTGTTTTTTTTTTTTATAGAAATGACAAATATTTTCAAAATACATTTTACGTTTATTTATTTTACATATTTTTATCAGTTTATTGTGTTAGTTAGTATTTGCAGTTTTTGTTGGTGCGAAAAGGTTGGATGAAATAAGAAAATAGAACACTTGTATTAGTAGAGTATCCTCAGCGTGGACTCGGTAGTCAACAGTTATCATTAATTTGTTAATTACATGAAATTTCAATTAAGTGAGCTCTGCTATGTTTAGTAGTATTTGTGAGAAACCAATTATTTAGTGACCAATTTAAACTTGTTTTTTTTTTTTTTTTTTTTTTTTGAGTAAAATTTTTATTTATTGAATTACATGGAGTGGATCAAATCAAAATATAAAATTATATCTAATTATAAATACAGAACATTAAAAAAAACTGTATAAAAAGCAAAAAATAATTAACAATACCCTTCACAAAAAAGTTTAAATACAAGAACTTGAACTGATCGTTCAGTTTGTACGACAGTTATATGCTATACTGTTGCGATCTAAACAATGTCTTCGAAGATCAAATTGCTGTCTTAGAAAATAATCCATGCCAAATTTCGTTAAGAAATTTCATCAAATAAAAAATAATTCCTTACAAGAATAAGATTTTGATCGTGCAGTTTGCAACAGGTTAATTGAAAGGTCCCCGACGTGACACTTAGATGGCGCTGTTAGAAAAATTCATATGATTTTCTGTTAGCCATAACCTTCAAAGGGGACGTGTAATAATTGAACAGCTGTGGGATCAATAGTTTGTGTATTATATGATTTTTTGTGAAGCAACTTTTGCTATTGTGAAAAAAAATGCTTAAAAAGAAATTTCACGTGTTGATAAAATATTGCTTTTTGAAAGGGAAAAAACAATTGAAGCAAAACCTTTTCCAGTTTCCAGACACTGCGCTCGGAAACCACACCTTCAAGGATTGGTGTGGTAAGTTTAGATGTGGTGAAATGAGCGCCGAAGACGGTGAAGGCAGCGATTGCCCAAAAGACGTTGTTATCGAAGAAAACATCAAAGAAGGGCAAAATAATTTTGGACGACCGTAAAATGAAGTTGTTTGAGATAGCAGACAGTCTAAAGGTATCAACTGAACTTTTACATTTTATCATTCACGAATATTTGGATATAAGAAAGCTCTGTGTAAAATGGATGCGGCGCGAGCTCAGTTTTGACCGAAAGCAATGACGGGTTGATGATACAGAGCCGTGTTTCGAGATGTTCAAGCCTAATAAACCCGAGTTTTTGTATCAAAAGGTAATAATGTATGAAGCACGGCACCAACATGTTACCCCGTAGTCCAAACGACAGCCATCCAAAAGAAACACTGCGCACGTTGCACCCGCTCCAAAGTGTAGAAAAATGGAACAGCAAATGACAAAGTTATGGCGTCTGTATTTTAACATACTTATCGGAAAGTTGGAGGGTAGGAGATTATAGCATTACTTTGAAAAATAATTTCTGCCAAATTTCGGGATTTGAAATTGAGCGAATGAGCAACTTTTTGGAAAGAAAAAGACCCTAAAAATTTTCAGACCGATATCTCAAAATTAAGCAACTAGTTCGCTAATATGCAGCCAGACAGACTGATATATGTACATTGTACAGAGATGGTTAAATCGACTTGCATATCTGATTACGGTGGTGTACATAGATACATATATAATTGCACGTATAGTGTATAGTGTCTTTTATGGTATATACTTGTATAGGTTATGTTTTGTAGGGCCTCTGTCGCTTCCTTCTGGGTGTTGGAAACTTAATATGCCCCGTTGAGGGCATAAAATTTAATGAATACAATAAAAAAGTAATAATAAAAACTGAATAAAACTAAACTTCAGTTTGCTTACACCAACTGACTATGCGGCAGCTCAAATGTAATTCAATAAGTAATTTACTCGTTAAGCATGCAAATTTAATTAATTTCAGTTGCAGTTTTTAAAGCTCGCGTTCGGGCTTGTCGTATTACGTATGTAAATAAGTTATTTACTTTAACGGAAACTAATTCAAAATGTATTACAAAAAGATTACCACTACATACATATGTATATACAATATCGTCACCTAAAATGTAAAATAACATAACAGCACTTTYCAAAAATTTACAGGCCAAAGAAAAAGCACCAATAGWAACCACAATTGAAACAAAATTTTARTTTCGGTTATATATTGGTTATGTATCGGTTATAAAATGGTTATATATAGGTTATATAATGGTTATATAATAGAMACCACTCATATTAACACAAAATTTTGAGTTTTGGTTCTAAAATGGTTATATATGGGTTATATCTGTGAGCGGGAGCTTAAAATATTATGATACATATTTAATGATGTAGTAAAATGTAAGCAATTAAACTTTCGATTTTTTTGAAGCTAGGTAGTTTTGCATTTAAGGTGACGATATATAATTTATACATATAGTATATATGTATATGTATRTATGTAGTTATGCTCGAACCATTTTTAATTTACTCATTGTGTTTTTTTTTTTGCCTACAAATTGTTGTGGCGCTTAAKTTTTTTTTACAAAATCAACATTGGCAAGCTTCTGTTGTGTTGTTGTTATTGGTTTTGTTATTCATATTTTGCATAAATAATATTGTTTACTGTTATTTTATCACATCTGTTAGTAAGCTAGTTGTTTAGTTACATTCGCACTCATTTTGTGTTTGTTGTTGTTTTATACATATTATATATTATTATTTTTTTTTTTCGTGTAGCAGTGTAGTTGTGTAGTATTTACAGTTACACACACACACACAGACATTCCAAATATGTGAAGAAAAAATAAACAAAATACACCATCAATTAATACAAATACATTGAATAAGAAGCATATAAAATCTCAATTACTAGCTTTATTCAAACCTGAACGGGAGGCATAGTTCACCAGCGCGAATTCGAGCAGTGCGCCAAAGACGAAGGTCAAACAGACGCCGGTCCAAACGTCGATCGCCTTCGTGTAGGAGACAGGCGGCAGTGAGGCATTTATGCCAGACGTTTGCGTGGCCATGGTGAGCAGCGTGGTCACACCTGTAATACATCAATCGAATCATGTCACGAAGCGCTAACGGTGCAGCCAAGATCATTCCTTGCTAACACACACACACATACAAAATATTATAGCTAAAGAACTAAGTAATTACGGCAGATAGAACTTAATTGAAAAATTTTTTATTTATTTATTTATTTTTTTTTTCAAAAAATGAGCAGGTTTACTATGAAAATGAAAAACAACACGTAACAGATGTTCTTTTTTCGATTTTTGTTTACAACTTTAATTGCTGGTAGTAATCTGTAAGGAGTACTCGAGCCATGAATACCATAACAAATCGCTACTTTTATAAAAATTATATATTTAAATGACTATGTATTTAATAAAGATGTGTATTATTGAAAAGAAAACTCTTTTGTTTGTAAGTTTTCGATTTTTTTTAGTTTTTTGCTTTAACTTGACTGTGCTTTGTGTTGCTTTACTTAGTTTTTGGTCTTTTTTTCTTTTTTTCTTTGTTTCTTCGACTTACCCAATGACACACGTGCTGGTACGGCGCCTTGATCAAGCCAGAATGACACCCATGAGACAATGACCAACATACAGCATGGGATATAAATTTGGATTAAGTAATATGAGAATTCTCGCTTGAATAGTAGATCGACTTTGAGGCAACTGTATTCACCTATGAGTATACAAGGTATCGTACATAAAAGTCAAAACCGAAAACATTTCGTTGGGGCGCTCACACAAAACATAAAAAACAGTTATGAAATATACACATATACAAATGAAAACATCAAAAATGAAAACATCAAAAACAAAAACATCAAAAAATTACAAAACARAAAACCTCATAATTGACTAATTAAATTAGTGAATTTTGAATAAAAAAAAATATTAGTAATATTTTGGTAGAAAAAATGTACAAGTACACGTGGTTAAATACAAATGCTGCAGTGCTTTTTCACATTTATTTCTTATAAGGAAGCATGAACACGTAAAATAGTTGGTTAACGTTATGTTTGAACTTTGCCTTCAAGTGCGTTCACACACGCAGACTTTTGAACTTTCTCTTATGGGGTTACATGGTTTTATGGGCTTCAAAAAATTTACAACAGCTCTAGAACAGCTCGAAAATTTGCAAGTTGATCCGAGTAATAGTTTTGGAGTTACAGCCTTGATAACTTGTGCGCTCGAGGCTAGCTAGGCAAAGTGCGCCGTCTTTCAACGCATTTTTCTTGAAATATTAACTCAAAAAGAAGTCAGTTGACAAGATTTCATGAGAACTTCTCAACCAATCTTTATGAAATTTTAGACAGATCTTTGAAATACAATTTTTAAAGACTTGAATGTAGGATTTTTTTTCGCTTACAACTATTTGAAGACAAAAAAAGATTCGCGAAATTTTCACTGAAATTTGAAACATCCAATTTTCAGTTTTTTCCTTCCAACAAGTTCTAAGTAAAGGTTTTAA